AATATTATGAACTGTGGACTCACCAAAATCACTGTGTACATCGGTCACACCTCCCTGGTGATACTACAACTGCTATCTTATCTATAACTTTATTTTTCATATTTTTTATGAATATTTATTGGGAAAAATAATAAATAACGCCAATATTATGTTCTGTGGACTCACCAAAATCACTGTGTACATCGGTCACACCTCCTTGGTGATACTACAACTCTTAGTTAATCCATAAAATCATTTGTCATACTTCTTATGAATATTTATTGTGATCCATAATCAATAACGCTAATATTATGAATGGTAGACTCACTAAAATCACTCTGTACATCATTCGCATCCTCTTGGTGATACTACAACTCTTAGTTAATCCATAAAATCATTTTCCATATTTTTTATGAATATTTATTAGGATCCATAATCAATAACGCTAATATTGTGAATGGTAGACTCACTAAAATCACTTTGTACATCCTTCTCATCCTCCTGGATATACTACAACTCTTAGTTAATCCATAAAATAATTTTCCATATTTTCTATGAATATTTATTGGGAAAATTAATCAATAACGCTAATATTATGAATGGTAGACTCACTAAAATCACTCTGTACATCCGTCGCATCCTCCTGGTGATACTATAACTCTTAATTAATCCATAAAATCATTTTTCATATTTTTTATGAATATTTATTTGGAAAAATAGTCAATAATGCTAATATTATCAATGGTAGACTCACTAAAATCACTCTGTACATCATTCACATCCTCCTGGTGATACTACAACCGTTATTTACTCCATAAAATCATTTTCCATATTTTTTATCAATATTGTTTGGGATCCATAATCAATAACGCTAATATTATGCACTGTGGACTGACCAAAATCACTCTGTACATCGGTCACACCTCCCTGGTGATACTACAACTGCTATTTTATCGATAACTTCATTTTTCGTATTTGTTATGAATATTTTTGGGGATCCATAATCAATAACGCCAATATTATTAAAGGTAGACTCACCAAAATCACTCTGTACATCCTTCACATCCTCCTGGTGATACTACAACTCTTAGTTAAACCATAAAATCATTTTTCATATTTTTTATGAATATTTATTGGGGAAAATAATCAATAACGGAAATATTATGAACTGTGGACTCACCAAAATCACTGTGTACATCGGTCACACCTCCTTGGTGATACTACAACTCTTAGTTAAAACATAAAATAATTTTTCATATTTTTTATGAATATTTATCGGGATCCATAATCAATAACGCTAATATTATGAAGGGTAGACTCACTAAAATCACACTGTACATCATTCGCATCCTCTTGGTGACACTACAACTCTTATCTAATCCATTGAATTATTTTTAATATATTTTATGAATATTTATAGGGGAAGATTATCAATAACGCTACTATTATGACGGGTAGACTCACCAAAATCACTCTGTACATCATTGACATCCTCCTGGTGATACTACAACCATTATCTAATCCATAAAATAATTTTCCATATTTTTAATGAATATTTATTGGGGGAAATAATCAATAAAACTAATATTATGAATGGTAGACTCACCAAAATCACTTTATACATCATTCAAACACTCCTGGTGATACTACAACTCTTATTTAATCCATAAAATCATTTTTTATTTCATATTTTTTATTATTGATTATGGATCCCAAAATATATTAATAAAAAATATGGGAAATGATTTTATGGATTAAATAACAGTTGTAATATCAACAGGAGGATGCGAATGATGTACAGAGTGATTTTGGTGAGTCTACCTTTCATAATATTTGCGTTATTGATTTTTTCCAAATAAATATTCATAGAAAATATTAAAAATGATTTTATGGATAAAATTGCAGTTGTAGTATCACCAGGGAGGTGTGACCATTGTGCACAGTGATTTTGGTGAGTCCACAGTTCATAATAGTGACGTTATTGATTATGAATCACAATAAATATTCATAAAAAATATGAGAAATGATTGTATGGATTACATAAGAGTTGTAGTATCAACAGGAGGATGTGAATGATGTACAGAGTGATTTTGGTGAGTCTACCTTTCATAATATTTGCGTTATTGATTTTTTTACAAATAAATATTCATAAAAAATATGGAAAATGATTTTATGGATAAAATAGCAGTTGTAGTATCACCAGGGAGGTGTGACCGATGTACACAGTGATTTTGGTGAGTCTACCTTTCATAATGTTTGCGTTATTGATTTCTTTACAAATAAATATTCATAAAAAATATGAAAAATGATTTTATGGTTTAACTAAGAGTTGTAGTATCAACAGGAGTATACGAATGATGCACATAGTGATTTTGGTGAGTCCACAGTTCATAATATTGGCGTTATTGATTATTTTTCCCAATAAATATTAATACAAAATATGGTAAATGATTTTATGGATAAAATAGCAGTTGTAGTATCACCAGGGAGGTGTGACCGATGTACACAGTGATTTTGGTGAGTCCACAGTTCATAATATTTCCGTTATTGATTATTTTTCCCAATAAAAATATTCATAAAAAATATGAAAAATGATTTTATGGATTAATTAAGAGTTGTAGTATCACCAGGAGGATGTGAAGGATGTACAGAGTGATTTAAGTGAGTCTACCATTCATAATATTAGCGTTATTGATTATGGATCCTAATAAATATTCATAAAAAATATGGAAAATGATTTTATAGATTAACTAAGAGTTGTAGTATCACTAGGAGGATGCGAAGGATGTACAGAGTGATTTTAGTGAGTCTACCATTCATAATATTAGCGTTATTGATTATGGATCACAATAAATGTTCATAAAAAATATGAAAAATGATTTTATGGATTAACTAAGAGTTGTAGTATCACCAGGGAGGTGTGACCGATGTACACAGTGATTTTGGTGAGTCCACAGTTCATAATATTGACGTTATTGATTATGAATCACAATAAATATTCATAAAAAATATGAAAAATGATTTTATGGATTAAATAAGAGTTGTAGTATCAACAGGAGGATGTGAAAGATGTACAGAGTGATTTTGGTGAGTCTACCATTCATAATATTTGCGTTATTGATTTTCTTCCAAATAAATATTCATAAAAAATATGAAAAATGATTTTATGGTTTAACTAAGAGTTGTAGTATCAACAGGAGGATACGAATGATGTACATAGTGATTTTGGTGAGTCTACCATTCATAATATTAGCGTTATTGATTATGGATCCCCAAAAATATTCATATAAAATATGGAAAATGATTTTATGGATTAAATAATGGTTGTAGTATCGCCAGGAGGATGTAAATGATGTACACAGTGATTTTGGTGAGGCTACAGTTCACAATTGTTTAGTTATTGATCATTTATTCCCAAAAATATTAATAAAAATATTGAAAAGTTTCTTCTTTATATAACAAAAGTTGTAGTATCACCAGGAGGGTTTGAATGATGTGTACAGCGATTTTGGTGAGGCTACAATATATGAGAGTTTAGTTATTGATTTTCTTTTGTGCTATAATTTTTCGTTATTGAAATTTGTTGATGGTCCCTGGGCACTCGTCTCAACGCCGAGTGTCCATAGAGATCAATGTTGTCGGAGCAGCGCAGAGGACGGCTTATTTAGATAAAAATGAGGTTGTAGTTCGTTGTGTGCGCTACTACGGTTGTAAAGAGGCATTGGCTGTGTTTTAAAAATGTCTCGATTACGAGTTATTGACGCTGGAAGCTCGAAACTTTACTGCAGTATTCTAAAGCCCAAGCTTCTACCTTCTGTAATGCTTCTTGTAGTTTCTTATTTACAAACTCTATATTTTTCCCCCTCTTCCAAATAATACCATCATCTGCAAACAATGAGATTCCAAAAGATGTATTTATACAACTAAAAATATCATTAATCATTATACTAAATAGAATAGGACTTATTATACTACCTTGGGGGGTTCCATTTTCAACTTGATATTTTGAACTTATTTCCCCACCTATTTTTACTCGAATACTCCTTTCAGTTAAAAAACTTTTTATCCATCTATACATTTTATCTCTTATACCTATTTGTTTTGCCCTGCGATGGACTGGCGGACTGTCCAGGGTGTACCCTGCCTCTCGCCCGTTGACCACTGGGATAGGCTCCAGTTCCCCCCGCGACCCCATGAGGGAATAAGCGGTATTGGTAATGGATGGATGGATGGATAATGGATGGATGGATGGATGGACCTATTTGTTTTATTTTAATCAACAATCCATCTTTCCATAACATATCATAAGCCTTTTCCACATCCAGGAAGACTGCTAGCACACTTTCCTTGTTAACCTGAGCCCGTCTAATTTCATGTTCCAGACATAATGCAGGATCTCTTTGTTCGGCGCTCGGTCACACAGCCGCAGCCAGCTAGCGTCAGAGTGCTGGAACCGGAAGAGACCAACCGGATTTAATAAAAAAACAACAACCCTTACTCTGATAAAAATGACTGTTTTAAGTTCATTTGAGATTTATGTGGCCAACTGCCACCAAATGCAGGTTGTGCATTATAAAGGAAATTATTTTAAGATAGCTATTAAAGACTTTAATAAAAGCAAAAATGTGAAATAACACAGACACCCCCCCCATGACAAGTTAAGATGATCCATTATTACTGATATTTACACAAAAAATGTCACATTCTTTTGACATAATTTCAACCAAGCAATATATTGAATTTGAAGTGATGTCCAAATGAAAGAAACCGTATATGTTCATCATAATGAATTCAGTATTTGTAATTCAATGTTCAACACTGAAAGAAATTATAAACATATAGAGTATAATTCCAATTTTATCAACTCTGGGGGGAAATGCTCTATTAGTCATTTAAAAGGGGAGCACAAGAGGAAAATGCATAAACTGTCAAACTTATGGTTTGACCACCTACTTGACAGCAATAAATATAAGGGTAAAATGATCCCACGACGCTAAGTATTGATTTATTACTGTATTCGTATATTCAAAAGGAAATTTTAATAACAATCTTAAAAAATATAAATGAAAAAGTCCTGGGAGGGTGTGTGTGTGTGTGTCAGTAATGACACTTAAGAATAGTTTGTTGTCTGCTGTACATCTATACATTGTTGCATGAGTGTGAACTTTAAACGCAATTCCTTTTCAGCTTTTTTTTGTAGCTTTTCTGTTGCAGTGCTTGTCGTTCCCTGGTTGCTCGTGCGGGCGACCCCGCGTTCCGAAACGCGCGCACCCTTCCAGCTCCGGGCGGGACTTCCTTTCCCTTGCGGATGCGATATCAGGGGGTTGAGCAGGCAGAAAGGGCTTGGTCGGGGTGTCACCGGTCTGTCCGTGCGCCTGTGGACGGGATAGAACCTGACCGAAGACGCGGCTGCCGCCGAAGCCCCCCCCGTAGATGAGTCTCCTCCCCGGCTATGCTGCCCTGAGAGCGCCGCAAGGACCCGCTCCGCCAAAATGTCCGATGTCAACAAGACGGTTCAGAAATGGCATGCCAGTTTCAAGAAAGGCACCGACTTTGACTCGTGGGGACAATTAGTGGAGGCGATAGATGAGTATCAAATGTAAGTGGCGTTCAACATGTGTGTTCGGGTCTCCCCCAGCACGGGCTGCGAACAAGCCGGGTGATCCTGAACGCATCGCGAGCGGTTTCTTTTCCGCTGCCTCTCAGCCCGTCCGCTCCCAACCTGCAGGGAGATAACGGCGAGTAGGGGGACCAGCTCCACAAGAAGTTAGCCTCGGAGCTGTCAGCCAGCTCCCTGAGCGCTAAATAAACCCTTTCCCGACCATGACGTGATGTGGCAGTGGTTGCAGAGGCAGCACGGTGTGCATGTTGCATCTCCCAACTTCTCTCAGGGGAAGAGTCACGCCGTGGAAATCCTTCCAAGGCTGCCCCGTTGCGTTTTTCCTCTGCGTGTAATGCAGTGCAGAAAACGAGCCAATATTCCTCGGAGCATTGAGAAATAGTCAGCCACACCCTCTTATTGTCATGGGTGGGTTTCATGTGTTTAGTGTGCAACGCTTCTCTGCTTCTCAGAGATCTTTTCTTTTTTCGTTGCAAAATAGTTTAAGGTGTTGGTCTTATTTGTCATCTAATTAATGGTTTGCAATTATTTTTTCACAGCTGAAATAATGAAAAATCCTGATCAGCAGACAATGTCATTTCTCTGCCGCAAGGGGGCGCAGAGACACAGCATCTAAGGCTCTTTAACTCGTCTGTGACACTGTTGATGTTGATGTTTTTTTTATTTATTCCTTTTCAGTCTTGCAAGACAACTACAGAAAGAGGTCCAGGCAATGAATTCATCAGATTTCAGTGAGGAGCAGAAGGTAAATATTACATCTGTGTGGCGCTTCTGGACACGGGACTGTATTGTTTTACCTCACAACTTCCTGTGCTTCTTCTCTTTTTTTGTAAAAAAGAAAAATTTGGGAAAGATTGCGACATGCCTGGAGCTGAGAAGTGCCAGTCTGCAGGTTTGTGTTCTTACTTGTTGGTGTGACTGTGGGTAAACAATGAAAGGAGATAAATGACCATAAAGTCACATTATAGAGGTCAAATAATTAAATATTAATCTGCGTTTTATGTAGAAAATGGAGAAATAATGTGCTCCTTTCTGCATTTTTTGTGCTTTTGTCAAAAAAGTTGTTTTTGTAAATGAATTGTCTCTGGAACGGCTCAGCTTTGCCCTCTGTGTTTGTTTTGTTTTTTTGCTTTAACGTGCGTAAATCCTCTTCCAGGTTTTCATAGTGGTGGTGAAACTGAAATGAAAAGACTGCTTTTAATGTGCCTCTGCTGCGTTTCCCCAGTGCACTCAGCCAAAGGAGGACTTCAAGTTAGAAGACCTGAAGAAACTGGAGACCAGTGAGTTCATGACCGACTCCTCCCGCGCTCTGAGCTCTTCCATGAGAGCTAATGGTCATTTCCTTTTTGTCAACAGTAATAAAGAACATTCTCACCTATAACAAAGACTTTCCTTTTGATGTGCAGCCAGTTCCCTTAAGGTAAAAAATCCACTCCTGACTCTTTATAGTACAGATGTATTCAACTGTGATAAATAGTATTCCACAAAAGTTAATTGAACCGGTCAAATCCGTCTCACACCATAAAGACTCGTCTTTCTCTCATCTGCTATCTTCTTTCTCTGTCTGCCAGGAAAATCCTGGCTCCTGGTGAGGAGGAGAACCTGGAGCTTGAGGAGGAGGACGATGCTGCGGCCGGGGCCGGTTCGACGGAGGCGTTCCCTCCTCGTGCTCCCGGTACTGTACATCCTTCCCGCCGGCGGCCTGGAGCTCCTCCACCCCATGTGGCCTTTTGTTTGACCGTGTGTGTTTCTGTTCTCTCTCTCTTTCCGTTTTTTCGCTGTGCATGGCTTCACCGCTCGCCCCCTGCCTGTCTGCCTCGCTGGCAGCTTTGCAAGGTACAGCATCATTCTGCGTCCGGGAGACGTGAGCTCACGTCCCGCCCGCCGGCACACGCCGCTTCATATCAGCCCGCTGCTGGCCTAAACACATGTGTCTGAGAGTGTGTCGTCCACTGTCAATTCAGGAATCGGCTGCTTTTTTTTTTAGTACTGTCATGTAAAGTTATTCACTTGTTGGGTCGTTTGTCATCTTAGGCCTTTTTTACTTGATCAGCCTTTTCTTAATGATAATAATAATAA